GTTTTGGGATGAGGCTTTCTTGACAGCTTGTTATCTCATCAATCGCATGCCCAGTCGTACTCTAAACAACTCTACACCCATCACACGCCTCCTCAACGTAACACCTGATTACTCCTTTCTTCGCATTTTTGGCTGCGCATGCTGGCCAAGTCTTCGCAAATATAACTCTCATAAGCTTGACTTCCGATCCAAACTATGCGTCTTCTTAGGGTATAGTGCCATGCACAAGGGGTATAAGTGCTTGGACAAAAGTACTGGACGGATCTACATATCACGTGATGTGATCTTTGATGAATCACGTTTTCCGTTTGCTACCTCACCTTGTTCAGTCGCACCATCTTCTTTGTCCAGTGCTGTTTCCTTTCCTCAGTCTGAACCGGTAATTGTAAATGATCATATGCGAAATTATGACTTATCGCTCTTGTTGTCTAACACCTCAAATGCAGCTGCAGCTCCACCACCACCGGCGCTCATACCTGCGCCTGTGATTCACGTCCCGGGCACATGCAGCATTGGGCCTGTTACACCTGGACCTGCTACACCGCCTCCCAGTCCAGAATCTTCGCTGCCTCCGCCTCGCGTCGATGCTGCACCATCTCCTGCATCTGGGCCTCAACTGGCCCAAGAACCTGGCAACCTTGTGCCCACGTTGCCTCCGCCTCGCATCGATGTTGCACCACCTCCTGCACCTGGGCCTCAACTGGCCCAAGAACTCGGCAACCTTGTGCCCGCGCCTGCTGTTGCGAGCGATGTTGTTGTCCCAACTAATCCTGTTCAGTCTCCACATAGTGTCACTACGCGTGGTCGTGCCGGAAAATCGTTTCCCAAGCAGCTCACCGACGGAATAGTTCGGTATGATCCGAACAGACGTGCTTTCTTCGCCGAGCCCACCTCACATCGACTGGCTCTCGCTGAGCCTGTTTGGCGCACTGCCATGGAAGCCGAGTTTGAAGCACTTCAGAAGAACAACACGTGGGCTCTCGTTCCCCGGCCGGCTGGTGTTAATATAGTCGGATGTAAATGGGTGTTCAAACTTAAGCAGCACCCGGATGGCTCTATTGATAAGCACAAGGCGAGGCTAGTTGCACGAGGTTTTACTCAGCGATATGGCGTTGACTATCAGGATACTTTCAGTCCGGTTGTGAAGCCTGCAACGATTCGCTTGATTCTTGCCCTAGCTTTGTCACGAGGATGGCAACTCCGACAGATTGATGTAAGCAACGCTTTTCTTCATGGCTTCTTGGATGAGGAAGTTTATATGCAGCAACCCCCTGGCTTCGAGGATTCCCGTCGGCCTCATTATGTGTGCAAACTCCAAAAGGCGCTCTACGGCCTAAAACAGTCGCCTCGTGCCTGGTTTTCACGACTTAGCGACAGATTATTCCAGCTTGGTTTTCAGTCTTCCAAGGCCGACACCTCTCTTTTCCTGTTTCATCATGGGGGCGTCACTATCTACATGCTTGTGTACGTGGATGACATCGTGGTTGCTGGCTCTTCTCAATCAGCAGTTGATCAGTTGCTGCGCGCCCTGTCTTCCTCATTTCCGATCAAAGATCTTGGACAGCTGCACTATTTTCTAGGGATTGAAGTCGTCTACAATTCAGGGGGAATCACCTTGATGCAGCACAAATATGCTTCTGACCTTCTTCACCGAGCTCACATGGAGAATTGTAAGAGCGTTTCAACCCCCATGTCTGTCACAGATAAGCTTGCTCGTGATTGTGGAACAGTGCTGGATGATGATGATGCTTTCAAATATCGAAGCATGGTAGGAGGTTTGCAATATCTTACATTAACAAGGCCAGATATTTCTTTTGCCGTTAATAAGGTATGTCAATATCTTTCCAAGCCCACTGATGTACATTGGGAGGCAGTCAAACGTATCTTAAGATATGTCAAGGGAACAGCTGCTACGGGACTTTACCTCCGGCGCTCCAACTCTACACTTCTGAGTGTGTTTACAGATGCCGATTGGGCTGGCTGCATGGATGATCGCAGGTCTACTGGAGGTTTTGCAGTATTTCTAGGTCCCAACCTGATTTCATGGAGCTCACGCAAGCAACCCACAGTATCTCGGTCCAGCACTGAAGCTGAGTACAAGGCCTTGGCTAATGGGACAGCTGAAGCAACATGGGTACAATCCTTGCTGAAAGAATTGGATGTGTGTCAGCCGCGACCACCAGTATTATGGTGTGATAACCTTGGAGCTACCTATTTAACAGCAAATCCAGTGTTTCATGCACGAACGAAGCACATAGAGGTGGATTTCCATTTTGTCAGGGAGAAGGTTGCATTGGGCACTCTTAATGTCCGATTTGTATCTTCCAAAGATCAGGTAGCTGATGGATTCACCAAGCCAACCACTCGCTACATGCTTGATCGCCTACGACACAATCTGAACCTTGTCATGGTTAAGATTGAGGGGGAATGTAAACAAGGTAGTTAGCCCAATCGAATAGGCATGTAAATCATAGCATGATTGTAGGGATTGTAAACAAGGTAGTTAGCAATCCTATAGGCATGTAAATCATGGCATAGCTTGATTATAGGGATTGGGCTGTTATATAGGATCTGATTGTTAGGATTTGTTGTAATCCCTACCTTGTACAAATTGTCTATATAAAGAGAATGAAACCCACGGGGAAATTGTGAAGGCAAATTCAATTTATTATCTCCATTAACGCCTAAGGTCAATTCTAAAAGTACATATATCATGACATCCAGATGCAGGTACTCGATACTTTACTTTTGTCACGCCCCGGGCCCACGGGCCCGTTGGTGTGTGCAAGCCATGAGACCCGTCAAGAGCAACTCGATGTTGGCTTAAATCTACCGTCAAAATGCTAGCACTAGTTGTTCTTGGATCTTTGGCTTTTCTCTATTTAAACCACTAATATTTCTTCACACTAGTCCATGTGAGACTAAAATGGGAACCGGATATAAGATGTCATATACGAATCTGCATCCTATCCGATATTGATATGGAAATCTGCAACAACAAAAAAAAACCATGTTATTTTGTATCCAACTTCTATCCCCTTGATGACATCATATATAATGTTACATCACACAATTAATCTACACGATAACAGTGCAGGGTTCACACTAATCCAGCGTCATTCCTCTTTCTCAACTCTTAGACTCGAAGTAAAGACCCTTTTTTTATTCGTAACATGCTTCATTTCTTCATACTGAAGATAGTTCACTTAGGTAACGCTAGCAGAGCCCTTCCCACATAACAAAGTGATGATAATAAAAAGTCATAGCATAGTGTGAATCAGTGTTGGTAACCTTATCCACCAAAAAAGCTCACCTCAATTATTAACGCATAACCCAATTGGTTATCATAAAAGCAACTCCACTTATTTTAAAGGAAGAGAGAAACTGCAGTTTAGAAAAAGATCGAAAGCATCCGAAACGGCGGATGCTTTGGCAAAGAAAGGGCAAGTTGAACCATATAAAAAAAAGCCGACGCGTCTCCATGATAATAATAAGGGTTTTTTTTAGATATTAGCCCCTTACATATGAGCTGTATTGATATTAGTCCCTCAAATCTGAGTATTTTGATACTAGTCCCTCAAATTGCCTTAGGTTGTTGATATCAATCCTTTCGTTAGGTTTTATGTTAAAGAACCCTCCCTAAAATTCTTCCTTTGATTTCTTTGGATTTTTTAAGGTTTTTCAATCATCTTCTTTTTAGGTTTTTTATTGTTGTGTTTAGGGTTAAAAATTTTGTGGTTCTTTGTGAATATTATGTATTGATCAATTTAGCCCTAAATTTGGGCCAATTTGCAGTAGATGTTTTTTCCTGATATTTCCTTGTTCAATTAGGTTTATAATGAGTTTTATTCTCTTGTTATTGTATGATTTTCTCTATTTATTGATGTTTAATTAATGCCATTGTGAAAATGTGTATGCATGGCAGTTGATTAGAGTTTAAATATATGGGATTTGTAGTAAATTTGATTAGGATTTAAAGATTTGGGTCTTGTGAAAATGTGGATTTCCTAATTTATGTCATTGCATGTTTTGATTAGAGTATAAAGATTTGGGATTTGTAGTAAATTTGGGGATCAATTAGGGTTTAAGCTTGATTAGTGTTTAATTATGAATGACGGAGTTTAATTTGATTAGAGTTTAATTATGCGGTGATGAATTTTAATTTGGTGAGGGGCATAATATATAGTCCTATGAATGCAATAGTTATAGATAACAGAATATTCCTCTATAGATTTAACAGCCACTAATTTGAGGGACTAATATCAACAACTTAAAGTAATTTGAGGGACTAATATCAACAACTTAAAGTAATTTGAGGGACTCATATCAAAATACTCAGATTTTAGGGACTAATATCAAAATACAAAATACCTCAAATTTAAGGGACTAATATCTTTAAAAAAAAACCTAATAATATTACCTGCATGTAAAGCAATCTGGACAAAAGAAGCACCCAATGAAAAGTTTGCTCACCAGCATTTACATATGCATGAATTGAACATAGATACAAAGGGAAAGAATCAATTATAAGTAACTAGACAGAATCCTCTGAAATTCCAAATAATTTATAGAACAATGATAAAGTGGCAAAACATGCAGGGGTCAACAATTGCACTTTTTAATACAAAATAAAAGAATCCAAAATTTACATCCAGGAATGGAGAAAGAAGCAAAAATTTGTCAAAATGTAAAAGACAAGCAGTGCAATTTTTGAAATTCAGTGGAAAAGGATTGCAAATTGTTAGAATTAAAGAAATGCTAAAAGAAAGCCCGTGGCAATCAATTTGCTTCATTTATAGATTTATTTGACGGAATCCCACCTAATTCATCTTAATCACTAACACTGCTTGGCTCTACACAAAAGGCGCTACACATGAACATGATAAATTTAAAGGTTCCATATGTCTGTCAAAATGTCCCTAAAGCAAATCTCTCCAAAAGAAGCAAAAGAAGAAAAATGCCAAATAAATTCAAAAAGCATCTCTCCACTTTAGCCCCGGCCCCATGAGTGGAAGAAATCAAACAAAGCAAACCAAAGCAGAGAGAACATTTCTCCCCACACCAAAGAAACCAAGCTCAAAGAAATCAAGAAAGCAAAGAATCCGAAAACGCAAAACCAAAAACATGCACAGGTTCAGCAACTCTCTCATCGGTTACCTGAACCTGCTGAGCCTCCTCGCCTCCATCCCCATCATCGGCGGGGCCCTCTGGTTTGCTCGGAGCTCCGCCACCTGCGAGTCCACGCTGCAAACTCCCCTCCTAATCCTCGGCTTCGTCATCCTCCTTGTTTCCCTCGCTGGATTTGTCGGTGGCTGCTTCAATGTTGCTTGTGCTCTTTGGTTCTATCTCTTCGTCATGCTACTGCTCATTGCTGCGCTTCTTTGTGTCACCGTGTTTGGATTTGCTGTTACCGGTGGCGGAGGAGGGACTCAGGTGGCAGGGAGAGTGTATAAAGAGTATAAGCTGGAGGATTATTCCGGGTGGCTGAGGAAGAGGATATCGGAGGACAGGTACTGGAGGGCGGCGAGGTCTTGCGTCGTGGGATCCAAGGCGTGCGCGCAGATCGCCTCTTGGACCCCGCTGGATTACCTGCAGAGAGACCTTACTCCTATTCAGGTTTGATTCCTTAGAATAGTTAATTACTAGATTTATTAGTAATATTTATGATTGATGATCAACTAGTTCCAAGGTAATACAGGGTGTTTTGAATGAAGTTCTTAACTATCTACAGTGCCGTCCTTAGGTAATCTTACTGTCTGGAAGCTTATTAGATGTCTAGGTATTCAGTTATAGTTAAGACTCTTTAAAAACGCCTGTAACTGGTAATTACCATGAGATTATATTAATAGCCTGAATCTAAACTATTTACCAAGCTGAATCCAAGGTCACCAGTAAGATGTCCGTGTAGATTTTGTTATTGAAGATAGAGCAATAGCTTCTGTCTCAATTATACATCACATACATAATATTTAGTCAAGCTCAATCGCGTCTAAACGACTATTTTAGACGGTTTATGCAAAGTTAAACTCGCCGCGTAAGACAAATACTGGAATTATCGGTGCCCTGTAGCCAAGTGAAACATAGCTACTACTGGAAGTTCAGCAGCTCCATACAAGTAATACTCCATCATAACCAACGAGGGCCCGAAAACAAAATCTCGATGGATAGAGGACATTGGTGTCAAGTATCCACGTTTCGGCTATATATGGTGGATTACGTTACAAAATTTACAAAACCACTTACTAATGACTGCTCATCTGAAGAAATCGGACAAGAGTTCAAGAAAAAGATGTTTATGGTGTACAATCTGCTATGACCATCTTGCACAAAAGAACAAACTTACAGTACAATTGAGACATTGTCGTCAGTTTGTTATTTAAATCAGCTCTAGGGTCTTTCAGAAATTCCCTCAAGTACCTCATCCAAAAACAAAAACAAAAATCTATCAGTAACCCAACAAAAATACTGTAACTCAGACATAGTTTATCTAATGAGAACTGATTCCACCGAAGAGTATCATGAAAACATTTCACGGCTACATCGCTTCCATTCTCAAATTTTTTTCACAACTAAGCAACACTCGCTATCAACAAAAAGATGTTAAAAAAGATCAAAGTAAATAACCTATCTAAAAGAATCTCGCAAATTATCCCTACACAATACATAATTCTGAATAAAGAGTGTGTTTTGCACTCTTGAAATTCCTCTCATATTAGCGCACACCTTAAATAATCAGGCACGAAATTGCGTGATTGTTTATACATGACACACATTTATCTTCACCCCCCCATAAACTTTACTTGTGCTACCTAACCCCTTGGAACTTTGGGTCAGTTAACCCCCTTGAATTTTGAAGTTTTCCACCTGACCCCCCTAACACCGTCACCAGTAAATGTGAAATCCAGGGGGACTGAATGGAATAAACAAAGTTCAAGAGGGTTACGTGCATAATCAGTAATTTCCAGTGTCAAATACTCTATACCCAATCTTAGTTTTCTGCAATGACTCAATCCACTACACTTCACAGTCAGGTTGCTGCAAGCCTCCTACATCATGCACATATGGCACAACCATGCCAATGGCCACGACGCAGGATGAAGACTGCTATAGATGGAACAACGATGCAACTATTCTATGCTACGGTTGTGACTCATGCAAGGCAGGAGTTCTAGAGCAAGTGAGGATGGACTGGCACAAGCTGTCGATTCTCAATGTCGTCGTCCTCATTTTCCTCATCGGGGTATATTCCATCGGATGTTGTGCTTTCCGGAATGCACAGAGGCATGAGTCAGATTATCCTTACGGGCACAACCACATGTCCAAAGTCAATCCTCGATGGGATTATTACTGGTACGACTAATTCAGCTTCAACTTCCTGTTCCTACTAATTTTGCTTTGTTTCTGGGCACATAACCATCCTATTTGGCAACTACTACTAGTAGGATCTTCAATGCATAATCTAACAAAAAACAAAAGGAAAAAAACATCCCAATCAACCTAAAAAATGAAAAAATACCCATCCTGCAACCCATACCCAGAAACACCTGGTTCGCCCACCCACCCAAGAGATCGCCAAGAACAACAAATAAATATTTGTCAAGTTACATGCTCTTGATTAGTGTCAAAACAGCTTAATTTAAATCGGAATACAGCAGGTTTTGATGCATGGAAAAGAAACCTTTAATCAACCTGCGGACAACTATAACGGCACCAATTTTAGATGATGAATCATACACTATGCACCCAAGAAACTTAGTAATGAAACATCATGCTCTTACTGAGTATAACCAATTTTAGATCCTACAGATACTTTAAACTAATAGTTCAGTATAATGCATTTAAATACGTACAATAAAAATGAAGCAAATGCTAGACAAATATGTAATAGTCACTGGCATATTATATGGACAGGCTATCGGATACAAATATCAAGTTGTGCAATAAAAAAAATTCAAACATGGAGATTAAAAGTATGCGATCTCCATAGCAAAATAATGTCGATTCCAGACTATATATCATCCAGCACCAAAGGGTTAGATAGCGATCCGGTGATAACTGTTTTGTGTTTTTTTTACCCTACTACAGGTGGAGGAGGTGGCGCGACAGGAGGGACCAGCTTTACTAGCTACCATTCTTGTTCATAATGCCACTATCCACTGTGTTATATTTCCATGGCATGGTTTTGTGTATGAGCAGAAGTGTGATTAGAATTATGTTCTTCTTGCAAGCAAAGATTGCGGTTTGTAAATTATATAATTGAATACATTCCGTTTACAAGTTTCCAGTTTCATATTTATGTCTTCTGGCATGAGGGAATACGATCACTTGCACAGTTGCACTTGGCACCAGTTCATTTCGGCACAAGAAAGTGCAAAGAGAAACACAGAAGCAAAATTCCAGGTAAATTAATTGATGCTCCAATAACGTGGAGAAAAGGAGTGCATGGACATTTTTTATGATATTCTATTGGTATGTTATCAACTCGTGATAAAGTTTAAGAATATTATGCTAATGGTACACCAACTCAAACATTACAACAATGTTCATTCTCGCTTAGACAAAAAGATAAAACTTCTTATCAAATATATCCACTTTTTTTTCTAGCAGGAAAGTGTTATATGGCATCGTTGCTCTTAAATTTAAATTTTTTTTATCCCTCTCTTTAACTTTTGTTAATGTCTTACGCTTCTGAATTATTAAGAGAAGCCCCTCCTTCAAAGCTTACTCTCTAATTACCCCTCCCTAAAAGCTAATCAACTCTCTATGGTAGCCCTTCTAATAATTTCAAAAGGTACGCCCTTCTTAATTTATATGGATGCCTCGAAAAATTTTGAGAAGATTTCCTGGTACTACGTTTTGATGCTAAATCTTTGTCAGTTTAGAATTGCCAACCATTTATTCCCAATTATTTAAATGATCAACAAAATTTATTTAAAAATTTGTTCCATGATCATATGATATCTCGTACTAGAACTTTACACCCAAAAAACTTTCTCGATTTCTCAATATAAACAAAAAATATTCTAAATATTTTTATTGACATATATTACATCATAATTCTTACTGTAAATTACCCAAAATCATTTCTTTCTCAATTATCTAAATGAAAAGATTTCAACTTCAAAAATTTTCTCACGAAGGTTTATCTGAATAAATGAAAATTACTCACTCCCTTCTCCTCAGTTTATCTGAATAAATAAAAACTATTATCTTAAAAATTTTTGCTAATAAAAACTTCATACTATATTTTTTGCCTTGTAAAACTATGATATATCTTGACTAGTTTTGAAGGAGAGGAAATCACAAGGAAAAAAGACATCCTAATAATACAGAATGATAAAAGGTCATAGAACTAATAAACGAGCTTCGAGCAAAACATTAAAGTTAGGGAAGGGTTAAAAAATAAACCTAAAGATGGAGCAAAGAAACAATCTTATCCTAAAATATTTTACAGGAGCAATAATAAATCAAAAAATGTGTGCACTCTTTCAATTGACTAACACGCGCATGATCAACTTTGATGTTAATCACAACGATGAATTGTGTCTCCAACATAATACATTATACATTCTGGGCAACTAATGCTTTTATTATCTCCACAAGTCAGTAGTCGAGGAAAGCACATCCATATTGCTTAAGGTTTGCTACGTGCAAATTATCTATTGCATTTTTGTAGACAACATTCCAAGATTCCAAACAAGAAAATCGCACAGCCAGGACTGTTTCCTTATTTTACAACTATCAGAAGCAAATCAGGTGATTATCCAACGAAAAAGGTAGGGCAGCGTCTTGCACGATTACATCATAAACTGCTTGAAAGATATCCAACTTCTAAAAAGCGCCAAATGACCAAAATGCATGAATAAACATTAGAAAGAAATTAAGCACAAACAGGACTCCCTCTTTATCTGTTTCGTATCAGACAGGAAGCAAAACTAGAATCACTGAGCTTACAAGAAACAGCCACGCTGAACATCAAAATTCATCCAAATAGGCTCTTTCCAAGGGTCCTGATTCTCAGTGAAAATACTGCATGAACCAAACAAATAAAAGAATAAGCAACAGGACAGATGGTAAAGAGGGGGAGGGGGGATTTCAAAGAAGAGGGTTTGTACATTTAGCCTGGTGTCACAGAGTCACATGATTCCCCCAAAATAATAATAATAATAACAATATTTATCTCCTATGAAAAGCCAAATAATAAATAGGTAACATTAGGGTAGAATATATCAAATAACATGATTCAAAGTATTGAAAACTAATCTTTCACGCAATTTAGAAAAGAGAGAATAGATGAACAGTGGGAACTATGCATAAAACTAGCCAGAAGTTTTTATTCGCACTATTTTGGAAAATAGCATAAAGCAGGCACCTAGGGTCCAAGGCCTTATGGGGGCCAGAGAGTAGCCAAGGCTCCCTTATTGATTTGCGAACAAGAATAAGGATATATAAGATCTGGCGTGATTTAGCAATTGATGTATTATTTGAATTAACAGTCATATCCAGATCTGGGTATCAAAATTTAGGCAACTTACAATCATTAAAATTTCATAATGCCGACTTAGTAGTACAATATCAAAGAAAGGAACCTAACAAATTTCCTAAATCAAGGGAAATTAATGTTCATGGGCCATGGCAACTAAATTTAAGCAGATGTAGTTAAATACTATTGGGAAACTCTGTCAGTTCTTTCTTCTTGCAGATGGACATAAAATTGCATCTCACTAGAGAACCAACCCATTTTTCCCTTTTCTGTGGCAACTTAATGACCTATGGCGGTAAGACAGCTTGGTTAAAACAGTATGAATTTATGAATGCTGTGTCTAGGGACAAGCCAAGACCCCTCATAATGGACATTTGGGCAAGCATTTACACTTAGTGGAGTATAATCAATAATAGTATGAGATTGAAATATGAAAGGAACTTTCTTACTACATCGAGCGAGGATCTTTCTTCCCTACATTAAGACTCACTGTATACTTTATAAATTAGCACTAGAATGTAATGTTTACCACTTCAAAGCTCCTCTGTCATTCTCAAGCCATAGCAGCCTTTTTCTCTTCTTCGAGCTTCTGCAGTTCTTTTAATCGTTCAGTCTGTCATTCTCAAGCCATAGCAGCCTTTTTCTCTTCTTCGAGCTTCTGCAGTTCTTTTAATCGTTCAGCCCAAGCTTTTTCCCTTGCCACCGCCTTTTTCTCTTCTTCGAGCTTCTGCAGTTCTTTTAATCGTTCAGCCCAAGCTTTTTCCCTTGCCACCGCCGCCATCTTCCGCTCTATCCTTTCCATAGCTTTCTTCTTTTTAGACTCTGCAAACTGAGCTTTACGTTTTTTCTTCTCGGACTGTCATGCACAAATATCACCCAGGCTGTGATTACTAAGAAAATAATTATGTGGGTTCTTATTAAAAATTAGCTTTCATAAAATAGTACTAGAAAAGTTTGTTAAATTACCGAAATGAAGAACAAACAAGTTAAATTAAATAGGCGAGAGAGGAAAGAAAATATCAGGGAAAATGTGGATGTAGTGTTATCAAAGGTGCATGCCTCATGCCCCATGCAATGCAGGATAGTAGCGTAGCACCCTGCATCTAATGTAGCAGTGCCTTTTGCGCCCTGCAAGCACGTGCATGCAAAGCATAGCCTTATATATTTTTGTACTTTAACATTTCAATCGAGTCTTTAATCTTTATATCCAATAACCCACATCCCAAAAGGTAAAATATACCCATTAGACCCTTTTATTAGTAGCCAAATTGAGGACCCTAACTAATTCTCAATTACTATTTGATTCTGCCTCGATATTAGTCTTGATTTAAATTTTGATTTGGAAAATTATGATAGCTACTATGTTGAGTGTGTTAGCATTAGAGTTAAAAGACCTTATTTGTGATTTGGTAGTACATATTATATATCTTAATATATTTTTTATGTGAAATTTCATAAAAATGTTCTTTCGTGTTTGATTATCCATCTTACAAAATATAGTCCGGTGTGCGCCTCGCTTCACTCGGGCGAGTGCATCGCGTTGCGCCATGCATGTGTGTGTAAAGTCAGGCTCCGCATCACGCGCTGTGCATTGATAACACTGTAGATGTACTTCAAAAGGATGAAAACTGCAGAATCCAAGCACTATAAAAACAGGAAGAAGTCCCAAAAGTTTATGGGGTGACTAAAAAAAGAACAGTAATTAAGGAACCACACAACACCAGAAGACAAATGAACATGAAATTGAAAACCTAAATAAAGTTAGCATCAGCTCAGCTGAAGGAGGCAGCGTACATCATCATTAGAATATGTCACTCATGGCTCTTCAAGCAGCAGATTTTATAATTTACCAACAGTAGACTAGCCTCCTATTAACCGTGAGTAGAAAGATAAACGTATATAACAATACTAGGAACAAGTAGATCGCAAATTATGTTAACCTAGAGAAGAAAAACACGAAACAAGAATGGAGGTCCATTTCTAAGGAAAACATAGTAGAAATAATCAATAAAACAACAAGATCACCATTCAGCTCTAGTAAGATTCATCTCTTCTGTAACATCAGTAATATCATGTCAACACAACGAACAAAAAAGATGGAAAATATAATTGCCAAGGCAATCATCAACTAACAGAATGAGCAAAGCCATACCAATATGAATGCTTTCCGCTGAGCAATGCGCTTGTTCTCCTTCCTTCCTTTGACACTTCCTTTGTTGGGACGACTTCTCGGTATCGGTTCCCCAGGCACATACTGAACCCAAGCATAAGGTCCTGCAGTTTCCCACCACAATGTCAATAGCTTAACTTTGAAGGAAATATGTCACTTGAAGCGCAAAGACTTCATGTATATGCAAGGGAAAGGAGAAGGTTATGGAGGTACTTAGATAAAATATTTAGTTATGTCATTAATGAGGTTTAAACCCATGATTTTAAAAGAACGTTGTAATAAGATGTTACGGCGAATCGCGTAACAACTGGTCCCGATTCTTTAATTTAACTGCATCCCAGTTTCTCTAGTCCCAGGCAACTACTTGTAGTTTCACAATGATAGATATTAAATAAGTTTCTACCCTACATTATTCAAGGATGCGTATAATTAAAATCTAGTGCTACGAATTCCCCGCAGGCTAATCCCACTAAGAACATTTCGCAACTTCAGTTAAGTACTGCTATAAGGTTATTTATGTGTACATTTTCTCAAATGTATATTCTCTACGATATTCCGAAAATAAAAGCGCGGCTATTAGTTCGACCGCAATTTCGAAGCTAAAGATTCGATCTTTTTCATAATGGATCATTAGAAGCTGAACCTGGGGGTTTGAGGCTGGCCCTCTTCCGTCGAGGTTTAGTCCCGGGCCGTCTCTTCGGCAACCGAGTATCAGTGAGGCTGCCGAGGATCAAGCTTCTGGTTTAGGTCGAGTAATTTCTCTCCGGCAACGAGATCAACTGCTGATTGAAGAAGAAAGGGGGTTGGATTCTACCGTCTCCACAATTTGCAGGCGAGAATTTGGGGGCGAATTGGTGAGAACGAGAAAGAGGAAGAAGTTGACGAGAGGATGGAGATAAGGGGCGCATGATGCTGCGTAAAGCTCCGCCGAGGCCCTTTTTTTTTCAAATTGAATCTGAGATCAAGATCAAACCCTAGAGCGCGAAATTGCAGAGAGAGAGAGAGAGAGAGAGAGAGGGACAAGGGGAGAAAAATGGGGTTTGGGCAGTTAACGGGTCGGGTCGGGTGGATTGAGTAGTAGTTCTATATCCAAATCTAAACTGAACCCAACCTCCAGTCGTCACCTATAAAAAGGGCAAGAAACCTCGATTATCAACAACCCTTGGCCGTTACTAATCCAGCTTTGATCCATTAAATAGTTCGTCTTTCTTATGATGGATACTTTCTCATGTTTATATCTTTTTTTCTTTCTTTTTTTTTTTTAATTTTTATTTTCCTTGCTCTCGGCGACAGAGTTCCATCGTGGAGAGTCCGACGAGGTTTCTGCCGCAAACAGAAAATAGCATAGAGAAGCAGATTAAGGTAAGATTAATCTCTTTCGTGCGGTTTTGAAATTCTGATCTTCCCTGTAAACGCACCCATTCCCGTCCAATTTTGCTGCAATAAATCTATCTTTTAAGCACTGATTTTTCTAAAGTCAAAGTTTTCAAGCGCGGGGTAATTGCACATTAGACCCCTACTGTAGCATCATTGTTTAGATCTTCGCTAAAATGAAAATAAATTTAAGATAGTACAGCTAAGGGGGCGTTTGAACTCTGGTCGTCACCCAAAATTTAAGATAGTACAGCTAAAATGAAAAAAATATCAACCGAAAAAAATATCAACCGCAAAATTTTT